TTCATCTTCAATAAAACTCGTCAGATTGCAAGCTTTTGTGTTTCTACATTTGGTATCAGAGCACAACGCAAACTGTAACCAAATTCTACTGCTAAAGTGCAGAGCCGGCAAATCAGAGTGGTGTGAGGCAAAACTGTAGAGAAATACAGATCTGGGTTTTTGGGAAACACGAGGGTTTTTGTGTGAGGTTGCAAGATGAGTGATAATGCAAGTTTTGCCCAGGTTGGTCTTCCCAAATTCGATGGAGACTACGATCACTGGAGCTTGCTTATGGAAAATCTTTTGAGATCCAAAGAGTATTGGGGGGTGGTGAGTGATGGTGTTCCAGAACCAACAGCTGGAGTGGAAATGTCGGCTGCTGAAAGCAAAGTCTTGGATGATTTGAGACTCAAGGATCTCAAAGCCAAGAATTACTTATTCAGTTCGATTGATAAATCTATTTTGAAGATTATCACCAAGAAGACTACGGCTAAACAACTTTGGGATGCTATGAAAATCAAGTACCAGGGCAGTGCTCGTGTTCAGAAGGCTCAACTTCAGGCACTCAGGAGGACATTTGAGGTATTGGAAATGAGGGAAGGTGAGACTGTAACAGCTTATTTCAGTCGAGTTATGGTAGTGGCTAATGATATGAGGAATTGTGGTGAGGATATGCCTGATGTTAAGGTGGTTGAAAAGATATTGAGAACCTTGACTGAGAAGTTCAATTACGTAGTATGCTCTATAGAGGAGTCCAAAGATATAGAGACTCTCTCTGTGGATGCTCTACAGAGCTCTCTGTTAGTTCATGAACAGAAGTTTCACAAGAGGCCTTTAGCTACAGCAGAAGAGGAACATGCTTTGAGAATTTCTCATGAATATGGGGGAAGAGGAGGCAGATCTGGAAGAGGAGGAGGTTATCAAGGTCGAGGTCGAGGAAGAAGTGGTAGAGGCTGGAGCAAAGACAATGTTGAATGCTATAGGTGTCATAAGTTTGGTCACTATCAGTATGAGTGCCCAGGCTGGTATCCAAATCAACATCAGTCTAACTTTACTCAGAATGATATGGCAGATGATGTGCTGCTTATGGCATTCATGGAAGATTCATATCAGACAGGAATGGAGAATTGGTGGTTCTTGGATTCAGGTTGCTCAAACCACATGAGTGGTGATAAGTCCTGGTTTGACAGCATCAACTACTGTCATACAGGTCAAGTGAGATTGGGAAACAATAACAAGTTGAAGGTAGCTGGGAAAGGAACAATAAGGCTGCAACTGGAGCAAGTGACTTTAGTTGTCCAGGATGTTTTCTTTGTTCCAGATTTGCAGACTAACTTACTGAGCATGGGGCAACTACAAGAAAGAAATCTGGAGTTCCTAGTAAAGAGGGACTGCTGCAGAATAGTTCATGAGACAAGGGGTTTCCTGTTGGAAACCAGAATGAAGAGCAACAGGATGTTTGTATTGCAAGCAACATCCAAGAGAGTCACAGTACAAACTGAACTTCAATGTTTAGCTGCAAACAGCAAGGAATCATCACTCCTCCTGTGGCATAGAAGATTTGGCCACCTGAATCCTCAAGGGATCTTGAAACTGCAGAAAGACAAGCTAGTGAAAGGGGTACCTGATCTGAAAGGAGAAGTGGGCGTGTGTGCTACTTGTCAATTGGGCAAGCAGACTAGGAATGCCTTTCCCAAGAAGAGCCAGTGGAGAGCAACCAAGCAACTCCAGCTGGTACATGCTGACCTCTGTGGACCTATCACTCCCACATCTAAGAGTGGAAAAAGGTATATTTTTACTCTCATTGATGACTATAGCAGGAAACTATGGGTCTATTTCATGTCTGCCAAATCAGAAGCCCTTGAATGGTTTAAAAAGTACAAAGCACAGGTGGAAAAGGAAACTGGGGTACCTATTTTGTGCCTAAGGACAGATAGGGGGGGAGAGTTTCTCTTAACTGAATTTCAAGCTTTGTGTGAGGATGCTGGAATGACAAGACAGCTCACTGCAGCTCTCACCCCTCAGCAGAATGGTGTGGCTGAGAGGAAGAACAGAACCACCATGAATATGGTGAGATGTATGCTCAAAGACACTCAAGTACCTGCAAGTTTCTGGCCAGAAGCAGTCAACTGGACTACTCATGTATTGAACAGAAGCCCTACTGTTGCAAATCAAGGAAAGACTCCTCAGGAGGTGTGGACTGGTAGTGCACCATCTGTTGCACATTTTCGAGTCTTTGGATGTGTGGCCTATGCTCATGTCCCTGACCAACAAATAAGGAAGCTAGATGATAAAAGCACTCAATGTTACTTTCTTGGTATCTCAACTGAATCCAAGGCATACAGGTTATACAATCCAGTTACCAAGAAGGTAATCATAAGTAGAGATGTAGTATTTGATGAAAGTCAAGGATGGAAGTGGAAGGCTGATGTCCAACCTGTACTTACACCCTTGGTATGGGAAGGAAGTGAAGAGGAACATGAAGATTCTGATGGGGAAGAAGGCCCTATGTTGAATACAATTCCACCTGCAGTGGAAGAAGAGGAAGAAGAGACCACCAACAGTCCTGTCACACCTGCTGCAACAGCCCTTGATGCCTATGAAGAAGAAGAAGAAGAAGAGGACAATAACATCACAGATGTATTAGGCCTGCCTCACAGTCCTGCCCTTGGTCCCAGATCTCGAAAACCACCTAGCCATCTCTCCATTTATGACTGCTCCCACTCCATTGAGGTACAGCCAGACTGGTTGCTGATGGCAGAAGTGGCTGGAGATCCACAGTGCTTTGAAGAAGCTGCTGCCATAGAGAAGTGGAATGAAGCAATGCAGCAGGAGATGCAGTGCATAGAGAAGAACAATACTTGGGAACTGACTGAATGTCCTCCAGGTATTACTCCCATTGGCTTGAAATGGCTCTATAAAACTAAGTTGACAGAAAACAGTGCAATTGATAGGCATAGGGCCAGATTAGTAGTCAAAGGGTATGCACGGAAGGCTGGCATAGACTACACAGAAGTTTTTGCTCCAGTTGCCAGGTGGGACACCATAAGAACATTATTAGCATTTGCTGCTCACCATATTTTTCCTGTTTGGCAGTTAGATGTTAAGAGTGCGTTTCTGAATGGTGAACTTACTGAAGATGTTCATGTTGAGCAACCACAAAGATTTGTGGTTGCTGGGGAGGAATCAAAGGTGTACAAGCTGAAGAAGGCACTTTATGGCCTAAAACAGGCTCCTAGGGCCTGGTACAATCGTATTGAGGCACACTTCCTCAGTAATGGTTTTGAAAAATGCCATAATGAAGCGACATTGTTCATTAAAAGAACTCAGCAGGAAGTTCTTATAGTCAGCATTTATGTTGACGATGTTCTATATACAAGCAGCAGCTCCAAGCTGGTGGATGAATTCAGAAGAACTATGGAAGCTGAATTTGAAATGTCTGACTTGGGACACATGAAATTCTTTCTGGGAGTGGAAGTAATGCAAAGTGAAAGGGGCATATTCATATGCCAGCAGAAGTATGCTAGAGAAGTGCTGGAGAGATTTCATTTGATAGAGTGCAATTTTGTGCACAACCCCATTGTGCCTGGAGTAAAGCTGACCAAAGCCGGGGAAGGAAGTCAAGTGAATCCAACTGAGTTTAAACAACTCATTGGAAGTCTGCTGTACCTAACAGCAACCAGGCCAGACTTGATGTTCTCAGTGTGTTTGTTAAGCAGATACATGAAGAACCCTACAAAACAACACTTGCTGGCAGCCAAACGTGTGTTAAGGTATGTAAAAGGTACTGTGAGCCATGGTATTTGGTACCATAAGAATGAAGGGGAGGACTGTCTGTTGGGATACACAGACAGTGATTATGCTGGTGACCTGGACGACAGGAAGAGCACCAGTGGCTATGTCTATTTTCTGGCTGGTGGGGCAATTTCGTGGGCATCCAAGAAGCATCCAGTGGTCATATTGTCAACCACGGAGGCTGAATTTGTTGCTGCTGCATATTGCGCAGCTCAAGGAGTCTGGTTGAGAAGAATTTTGGCTGAGATTGGTTGGGAAAGCAGTGTGGACAAAGGCACAGTCATCATGTGTGACAATAGCTCCACAATCAAATTATCAAAGAACCTTGTGATTCACGGAAGGAGCAAACACATAGACGTGCGATTTCACTTCCTAAGAGAACTGGCTAAAGAAGGAATTGTGGAATTACAGCACTGTTCCACTCAAGAACAAGCTGCAGATATCATGACCAAAGCTTTATCGCTGGACACCTTTCAGAAGCTGAGAAGCAAGTTGGGCGTTTGTGATCTCTCCGAAGTCAAGTGAAGAAGAATGAGTCTGTGTAATGAACTGAAGCCTGAATCAAAGAGGACTTCAGTTCAGGGGAGGACATGTTGGAAGAAGGAATCCTAGTGACACAAGGATTGAAGTTGAGTATGTCTAATAATCAATACTGCACCGTTTGCAGTATGTCTAGATTAGCACCTTTAGTTTTGTAAAAGGTCTAGTTAGTCCTAGCAGGCTGAGTTAGCCGTTGAGAGCATATAGCTGAGTCTGTTAGAAGAGATTGCTGGAAATCTTAGTAGTTGAGTCAGGGTTGTTGTTTGCAGTCCGATTTAGGGGCTTGCAACCCATCTCTATTTATATGTTCTGTTCATCTTCAATAAAACTCGTCAGATTGCAAGCTTTTGTGTTTCTACATATATATGTTGACTTTGTGTGAAATGTGAACATATGTTTTACATGAATGGTGTGTGCACATATTTTTTACATGAATGGGGGAATGTCCCACCTTGGGACAAGAGACTTAGATTACGAAATTGGTGTTGTGCGATGCAGCCCAAATCATGGGATCATGGGAAGATTCGTTTTTGTCCCCATTCCAAAGGGTTAATACCTAACCATTATTTTTCTTCCACTACAAATTAATTAAGTGTTACCTCACCTAATATGTCACTCCCAAGTCCCAACCTCTATCCCATTCCCATACATAATAATATAATATTATCATTATCGTCATCTTCCTCTGCCTGCCTACTATACATACAAACCAGCACCACCTCAATCCCCTCCACCATTAATCCTTCCTTCACCACATTCTAACTAAAAGCCATTACCTTACCTTGAATTTTTAAACCTCAGAAGACCCAGAGCAAGCAAATGGCAGCAATTAAGGCAGCAGAGCAAGAACACCCAGTTCCGGCCTTTGGTTGGGCTGCGAGGGACCAATCCGGTGTCCTCTCTCCCTTCAATTTCTCCCGAAGGTGCCTTTCGGTTCAATCTACTGAATATGTTGTGGATCAAAGATTAAATAATCGTATAAGAGATGAGATTATACCACATTAGTCTATCATAACACGATCGTGTTCAACCATTTCATACCGGTAAAATACTACCATTTGCTGTCTCATTTTGTTAATTTGTGCTTTATCTCTGGTTTTCATCCATTCAGGGCAACAGGGGAGAAGGACGTGAAGTTCAAAGTGCTCTACTGCGGGATCTGCCACTCCGACCTCCACATGATCAAGAACGAATGGGGTATCGCCACGTACCCACTAGTCCCCGGCCACGAAATCGTCGGCCAAGTCACCGAGGTCGGGAGCCAAGTTACGAAATTCAGCCCCGGCGACAGAGTCGGCGTCGGTTGCATCGCCGCCTCATGCCGCTCCTGCGACAGCTGCATCCACGACCTCGAAAACCACTGCCCAAAAGCAATCCCCATCTATTCCGGCCACAGCTCCGACGGAACCGTCACCTACGGCGGCTACTCCGATGTCATGGTCTGCGACGAGCACTTCGTGGTCCGAATCCCGGACGCCCTGCCGCTCCAATTCGCCGCTCCCTTGCTCTGCGCCGGGATCACGGTTTACAGCGCATTAAGGTACTATGGGCTGGACCGGCCCGGGATGAACTTGGCCGTTGTTGGGCTCGGTGGGCTGGGCCACGTTGCCGTGAAATTCGCTAGGGCAATGGGGGCCCAAGTAACCGTCATCAGCACTTCGCCGGCGAAGAAAGATGATGCAATCCAAAACCTCGGCGCCGATTCGTTTCTGATCAGCCGCGATCAGGAGGAGATGAAGGCGGCGATGGGGAGGTTTGACGGGATCGTCGATACCGTGTCGGCGGATCACCCGCTGGTGCCGTTGATTGGGCTGTTGAAGACAAATGGGAAGCTGGTTTTGGTCGGGGCGCCGACGAAGCCGCTTGAGCTGCCGGCTTTCCCGTTGCTGAAGGGCAGGAAGATGGTCGGCGGGAGTGGGATTGGTGGGATGAAGGAGACTCAGGAGATGCTTGATTTCGCCGGCAAACATGGCATTGCGGCGGAGGTCGAGGTTATTCCGGTGGAATATGTGAACAAGGCCATGGAACGTTTGGAGAAGGCGGATGTTAAGTACAGATTCGTCATTGACGTTGGGAACACATTACTGAAGAATGCTTGATTAATAAGTTGGTTCCAAAATTTTACAAATTTCACCATGGCTGCTTGGCTTTGTTTTGCTTCAAGGACAAGTAATTGAGTAAGCAATAAGAGAGTGTGTCTTAAATATGAAAGCGTAAGATAAAATTTCCCGCCAAGGATTGTTAATTGTTAAATATGAAAGCCAGTGCAGAATCACTCCAGCTGTCAATTTCCAGCTAATAGGGTTTGTCACAGGAAGACTAAAGGGGATGCTAAGGTATAGGAGACAGTCGCTTCTGTGCGTTCAATACTTGATTTTCCAGAGCAAGGAGGAATTCGATCTATCAACAGCATATTTCAGTTCAGGTGGCAAATTCTTACTCTGGCTGATTGGATGAGCTGACAACTTTGATCTCAACATGGAGAGCAAGACTCTGTGCCGTGACTGCTTCCTCTTTAGAACTTCAATGTAAGCTTTCATCGCAAGCCAGTGTACTTCGGTCTCGTGCAACCGAAGCACTGGACTGGGACAAGAACCGGAAGAAGAAGATAAAGACTGCATCCTTCTCTTTATCAGTGTATGCATATATCTAAGAGAGGGACAACGGCACAAACTCTGAGTAAGAAATTATAGAGAGAGAGAAAAAAGTCAAGTTTGCAAAGCTTGATTGAAGTAGTCATAGGACACAGTATATAATTGTACCTCCAGGTTCCCTGAATCGTCTTCAAATGGGATTCAGCAGGGAATTTGCAGATGTACGACATCTCAGAAACGTAACAATGGAATATCATAGCAGATATCAGGAAGGCCTGGAAGACGTTCAATCTCACAACTGGTGCTGAGTTGATGTTTGAATCAAAAAACAAGGGATGACACTTGGGTGTCATGAAAGCTTGCAACTTTTTCTCCATATGGAGTCTCGGTTTCTTGCCCCAGCCAATGGTAAGACGTGACCTCAAATGGTTGTTCAGATACCTAATAAGTTTATTGAACAAGCCAAACATAATCCCCCAAGCTAAAATATTAGTTTATCGTCATATTTTAAGCACAATGCAGAATAAAGGAAGGCACTTATAGAGGAAAACCACCAAAAACCGGACCTTGTGTAGTCTGCTTGTATTTCCAAAGTGGAAGCATTCAGAAGCAATCCACTCCATCGAACGAATGAAGCTCCATCTTCAGCGACGTAGATCCTGTTTGATGGAGGCGGCGATTCATGTCCAGGATCAAAATTGAGACAGAATTTTTCTGCATTCATGTAGCAGTTGTAGTCTCCAAATCCCTTCTTCAACTTCTCGAAAAATTCAGAAGCCTGATCCTTTGAGGTTGTTATAAGGAGGAAGTCATCAATAAATCTCAAAAGCGCATAGCGTGTCTCTGCATTTCCGCAATAATCTTGTAACTGAAGTCTTCTCGACGAATGTTCAATGATGGGTTTGCTCGCTTTCTCAAGGTATGGGAAAATCACTCTTCTCTCAAGGTGCCCATAGTATAGCGAGCAAAGCAGAGAAGACACAATAGATCCCTGAGGTATTCCCATACCTTGCAAGTAAAAGCATTTACCCATCCGCAAAACATTACGCTTGACAAGTTCCTTGAGTACATTCATGACCTCACTTCTGCTCAAGTGCCTTTCTATTCCCTGCAAATTTATGACAAAAGATATATAAATAGCTGTCTCGAGTGATTATACGTTCAGGGCAAAGTGGTAAAAGTTGCAACCTCTGTGAGATACCTGATTAACAAGCACACTGCTTATGGAACTGACTGCACTAGAGCCGCATCTTTTACTGTCGATGACATTAACTGGCTCAAATAGGCTGGCCTTTTCTTGCACCCACAAAGATTTCTTAGTGCAGAAAACTTGGTTGACGTGTTTCAGAAGATACCCATCTTCACTGAGCACAGCATTTAAGATGCTAACCAATTTATCCTGATTCACAGAGTCAAAAGCTTTTGATACATCAGAAACAACTGTGAAAACATTGGGTAATGATGAGACTGATGGCTTCCTGTTCAGACTCATGATAAATGGGCACAACTTCTTGTAGATGTCATTGTAGTCAAACACCGATGAACCAAACTTCTCTGGTTCTTTCGACCGCATGCCTCTAAGAACAGCATGTGCATCACGAAGTACGCAGTTCACTGGCTTGAAATACTTGTGTCTTACATCCACGTCACTGAGAGAATGGACTTTCCTTGACACTGACGAAGATTGAACATGCGAGGAAGATTCTGAAGCAGACAGTCTTGATGCTGCTTTGAGATTTGCAACCACCCTCATTGAATTCTTTTTGGGAACAAGTCTGAGCTTTGAGAAACCAAATGATCTATTATTTAGAATACCCGAAACTTCAGCTACATTTAGAGTTTGATAATTCTTGTCTTCCAAGCAGGCCATGGTTTGATTCTTCAACGTTTCCCAACTTGATTTCCTATAATAGAAAACTTCTTGCTTCCCATGCTCACTCTCGGTGATGTAGAAGTTTGCTTGAAGCAAGGGAACTATTATGTTAGAGAAAAACCAAACAATCCATTTCTCTAGCAGTTGGTGTTTGTTGCACAAGATGGGGAAGCTTGATGTCTTCAGTTCATGCATGCATTGCTTCAAATAGAACTTTTCATATCTTCTTAGACGAATAAACTTCGCAATATTTCTCCTTAAGACCCTCCAGCTTGATGGAGTTCCAAGCAAGTCAGGAGGAACTATGTTTCTACTAACAGCCCATATAAATGATATCACCTGATGTTTTGAGCAATAAGACTTCATTCCTTTGAACTGGGTATCAGTGACGGCTTGAGGTTTACTATAGGAATTCAAATTGCAACTGGAGGAACTGTCACGTCCTTTTCCATTCAGATCTTTGTCCTGAAAGTTGGACAATTCTAGATTAATTTGCAATAGCTATACTCCGGTAAAGGATATCACGTTAACTGAACACCTCTTATTTTTAGCTCTTGTCCACAGTGAAAGATTACCTGACATGAAGAGGGAACGGGACAGTGTTTATCTAATAGCTTCAAGTGATTGCATCGTTGAGTTCGAAAAATTAGGTTCTTCAGCAGTTTAGCAAGTGAATGATGCCTGAGTAGATAAAGAGGGATGAATGTGGTAATAAACACATGTTCATGGATTACTGCTAACTAACTTATTACCTAGAAGCACTGAAGAATGTCGACCAAAAAACTGGTACACTATTCTAAAAAATGCTTTTACAATCCAAACCAACACATGCAGAAAATGATGAGATGGAAGTGCACAAAACCTTAATGTGTAGTGTGAAAAAATTGAAGTGAATGTCCAGAAAAGCTAAAAGTTATGACTAATTATGAGCAAAATGGCATTTAGGATACTTACAGGCACATAGGTCGACTCGAGGAAGAAGCATTACAGTTGGAGCATGTCAGTGATTGTGCACTTCCAGCTACATCAGAGAAGCCAAAAATACTCTGTAGAAGAGAACTAGAACTAGTATGGTTCGGCTTTAAGGATTTCAATACATCTAAATGTTGTTAGTTAAGGTGTTGGACAATGTTATTCCAACAATAAATGAACTGCAGCATAGAAGAAGTCAATCTACCCAAGGTCATTAACACCCATTGCACTTGATTGATATCTCTGGTTTCAGCAAGTAATCGAACACTATATGGAATTTAATTTTTGAGAAAAGATGAGGATACGCTTCGGGGGAAGAACTGATGAAGCTCCACCATAACTATAGAAGATGGGTTGCCGATTGATCTCAGCCCCTTTAGTAACTGCATGAGCGGATATGACCTGACATCATAGTGTTTGCAACTCTAAGTATTAGCACTAGCCTGGAGGGTGGATATGGAGCAACATCTTATTATCATATAGGGAAAGGTAAAACAGGAATGCAAAGAGACATTACCTTTTTATGATGATGATCTGAACTGACATTAGTACATCCAGTATGAGAGGTTTTAGAGAACCCAACTTCACGATTACACTTAATGCTGCAAGAGTTCTCTTCACCATCTTCTTTAGCAGCAAGACGCCTTAAGTTTCTGCGACGCTGCCACTTACATGACCGCTTTCTGCTACCCAAAACGTTATGCTTGGAGCCCTCAGGCTCATCGTACAAGTGATGCTTTTGGCCACTTATCTCTGCCTTGGGAGCATCCATTTGATCACATCTTTCAACACAATTGCTAGTGTGATGCATCACATTTTCCTCAGTGAATCTAGCCCTCTTCTTTGTTGGTTCTGAACAAAGGAAAGTATAACCCCATGAACACCCTTATCTATGGATTCAGAAGCTATGTGAAAAGATAAAATGCTGGATAGAATCAGCACTAACATTCTCTAAAATCATAGGAACAGCAAGGTAACCTTAATTACCAAAACTGTTGGCCAAAGGACGTTTGCTCTGCGATTGTGACTCCACCTTGTGCTTTGACAAAAATTGAAGAGCAAAGTTGCTCGTAGGAAAGCCAGCAACTTGCTGGTATTTCGAGCAAGGAAATGGCAGAAAGATTGATGCATACTTCAGAAGATAAATCATAACATCATCTCCCACCTGTATTGCAACCCAAATTCCGAGCATTCTACTTAAATCGACAGACTAAAAGGAACCAAATAAATACCATTTGATTGAATGAACAAACAAACATGACCATACCCGTTCCAGAAGAAGACTCCATCCTTTAGCCGTCAAAAGCTCGGTAATGGGACTTGAACGCTTGAACTGTGACCAATAAAGGGGGGAAAAGGGGCATAAATAAAAGAAAACTAAGAAATGAAGAAGCATCCAAAGATTGCGACGGCATTAAAGTAGACTTTACCTTATCATATCCAACACAGATTACATTACCAGACGCCCGCTTCTGCTCCTTCAACACAGCCTCAATCACCCTTTGAACAATCTGAAAACCACAAAAAAAAAAAAACTCCATGAAAACAATAAATCATCGAAAAATACGAAATTCTAGTTCTAAAAGAACCCTTATTCACCTTATGCTGGGACCAGTAATTGTCCGTACGGAAGTCGCGTAACGGAGGAGCATTGTCGCTGAAGACGACGTAGCTGAAGTTGAGCAGATCCCGGTATTCAGATGGATCATTGGGTCTTAGAAGGAACGGCAAGGCGCTTTCGCCGGCGGTACAAAGGAGGCAGCCGAACGGGCGGGAACCAATGCAGCTGCAAGACGGCGGCGAGGAAGCAGTGGGATGGGAAATTAAGGAGAGTATAGAAGTGGCTAGGGTTTTCACTCTTGTCCCGTACAGTCGTCGGAGGACTTCCGGCACTCTTGGGCTTGGCTTCTTCTTCTTCTTCGTCATTTCTGCAGACGGAGTAGAGAAGACTGAAGAGGGAGCTAGCGCGCCAAGGTGAAAAGCTGGGTTAGTAAAAGATCGAGTGAAAGGACGAGTGGTGTTTTGAATTTAGTTTGAATTTTGGAATTTAGTGGAACTGGGCCTATTTGCTGGGCTTCTTGGACCTTATCATGATTCTTTGGTAATTTAAGGACACCAGTTTTATTTTTATTTTATTTTTTTAAAGAAAGGACACCAGTTTCAGTAATGAAAAAAAAGGTCACAGTTAAATTATATAATTGGTTAGTGTTAGGAAAATAAACCAGATCTTTTAAAAACTATGGATCCAGATGGTTCGGTGAAGAATGGTCAGGGCGCGGCAGGGGGTGTTCTTAGAGATGATAGTGGCCGAATCCTGAAAGCGTTTGCAGGGAATATTGGTGAAGTCTCAATTACGAGAGCTGAATTGGAAGGCATGGTTTGAAGATGGCTTGGGACGAGGGCTTCCGGCGGGTGGTGCTCCAAACTGACTCACAAGCTGCAATCCAGTTGATTGAAGGAGCAGAAGAGAGGACTCCTCATTTCCTGGCGGTGCAGTCTGCTCGCCGGCTTCTGGACAGGGAGTGGCAAGTTCGGCTTGTTCACGTCTTTCGTGAAGGGAACTATGTTGCAGACTATCTCGCCTCAGTGGGACATCGACTGCCGATCGGTTTCCATTCCAGAGAGGAGTCGGATCCACTCCTGAACTATTGGATGTACTTTGATGTTATGGGGGTGGAAACATCTCGTATGATTAATGTCTAACGGTTGGAGTGCCCGTAGCACTCCGTTTTCTCACCAAAAAAAAAAAAAACTATGGATCCAACTGGATCCAATAGTATGGTCCGGATTGTAGATTGTTACGAATGTTTTATTTTAGTATGGTATATGGTCTTATATAGGATGTGTTGATATCTTGGTCTAGTGTGATCCAAACCGCGGTTTATCGGACCAAACCGTGTACCCTGCCAACTTCTCAATTCATGTTAGCAGTCTGCTCGGGCATTCTATCAAATCCCCAAGGAGACCCAAGTCTCAGCCAGAGTTTTGCGAATATCTTCCCCTCCTTTATTCATAAACCACACTTCACCAAGAAGTAGAGACGACCGTTTCTTCGTATGACGTTATGGTGAAAGTTTGGTTGCTCGAACTTTGTATTTTGTTATTCTTGGATTGAGGTATCAAAATTATGCAGGCATGTTGAAATTTATGTCTTAAGGGAAAAAATGTTTTTCTCAGTTATCAGTTCGATTTTTTGTTGGTTGACTAAATAAGTTGTTCATTTTCGCTCAATGTGTTCTGCATGGTATAGACCGTGTTGAACCGTAACATATATGTGGGGGGTATAGTATAGACCATATAAGATTTTGTATGGTCCCGAGTTTGCATTCAAACTTCTCGGTCTAGACCATAGACAATATGTATATTCTAGTCTGCACCAAACCCACTGTTTTCCAATCCTATCGTTGGTAAACAATTTGACTGATGATTATGAAAGTTATCGTATAGTCAGAATCATTTATGGTATATAGACATATACTATTGGCAAACAATTTGACATGAGAGCTCAAATGAGATAAGCGTATTGAATTTATGTATGAGTTACTTTAGTTAAATTTATAAATATGTATCATTAGCAAGCAATTAGACCATTGACTTACAAATTCATATAAATACTTGTGGTATGTCAAACTACTTGAAAAAATAACATTAGTAAGTAATTAGTTGGAATTTCCTATATACTGTCTTTTCCATTCATGCTATGAACACCTAGACGCCCCTAGACTACGCTTAATCGAGCAAGGCGCAAGTCAGGAGCCCAACGTTCTTCTTACACCTAGCGCATTTTTGAAACTTGCGTATTAATCATCAATCAATATTCTAGTGTGTAGATATATACGATGAATATATTATTGATTGTTGAAATTCTATCGGTGTTCTAAATTGGCATAAAAACCTTAAATTTATTAACTATGATGACGATAAGAATGACCTTATGGAGAATACGAAAATTGAAGAATATTTCAAAACTAAAAAAATAAAAAACATGGTATGATCATTTTAATTTTATTATACTTCTAATAAAAAACTTTGGACTAAATCTTAAGAATTCCAAAACAACGCCTTCAAAATTCATTGAAAAATCTCATTAACATTTAACTTTGAGTTCATTGACTACATTGACCCTATGAATGGGGGAGAAGTAAAAAAATGAAATGGATAAATTACAAGATTCGTCACTGAGTTTGCTAAAAAAATGTCACAATTGGTCACTAGAAATATTTTATTCCATTCGGGTCACTAAAAATTAGTTCAACCATTATAGTTGACCATTATATGAGTGACGTTACAATTAAAAAATAATATTTCATATTTTACAATATTCACCACAAGTACTATTAAAAAAATTAAAAATTATTTTCTATAATTCCCTAAAGCCCACGATCAGAGGTTGGATCATGGGAGTCGACTTGTGTGTTGCTCTGGTCGCTAGCTTCTTCCTTGAGGATTTGCCGCCGATGGACTTCCTCGTCATTGCGCGACTACAGCTTTAGGGTTCGCGACGATGGTAGGTTTTCTCACAGTTTGAGTTACTTAGAGCTAGGTCTTTGTCTCCAAGTCTCGAGTTGTAGAGAGGAGGGGAAATCGTCGAAGGAGGTGCAGTGGCGAGTAGGGTTCTCGATCTAGAAATTTGGGAAGAGATGGTGATGATTTGGCGGTGGAATGATTTGTAAACTTTTTTTGTTTGCATAAATGGAGGGTAGAATATCGGCTCTGGGTGGCTTCACAACCCGAGCTTCTCGGCCTACTTCACCTTCGCTGGTCGAGGTGACAAGAAGAGGGAAGCAGGTAGAAAGGGATTTTCTTGGTTCCTGGAAAACTGCCCAGAACGCAAGGAAGGAAAATCAGGTGGCGACGAGAGGGGGAAAGGGGGTTCCGATGGGGAGAGTTGACATGCTTCTTTCATTGAATTCAAGGGTCATAATCATTTGCCAAACTATTCTCAGTAAACTAGAAACTGGTTCATGTCAGGGAAAATTTCATTTTCAAACTCTGTTTTACCGCGCTCTGCTTCGGACAACAACGGTGTCGTTTCAGCGCCACAATGAAAGTGGACCGATGTTGTTTCGCGAAGGGATGGCAATCTTACGAAATAGCACTTGCACTTCTTTTTCTATTCACTTTTCCCTTTTTCGTTCGATACTTTCTTTAGACAAATGTTTGTCTTCTTCTCTATTTATGTAAGAACTACGAGAGCCACATGCTCCAACTATTTAAGCTTCAAGGATGAATGAAAAGAACTAGGTTAAATCTTCACAACAACAAAGCATTGTTATGGTATTAGAGCCTGTTTGCTTGAAACCCTAGCCACTAGCAACCAACAACGACAATGGCTAAAAACGAAGAGAATGATCCAAAGCCAGTAGCAACCAATCTTCCCGATCCAATGTCTGATCCATACTTCTTACATGGTTCAGAATAACCAGTGTTCCAGCTAGTGGGAGAGAAGCTCACCACCACTAACTATAACGAGAGCAAAGCCATGTACAATGCACTAGGAGCCAATAACAAGCTTGGTGTTGTAAATGGAACCTTGCTTGAACCAACAGCAGATGATTCTTTGGCGTGACCCTGGAGCAAAAACAATATTATGGTCTTAGCCAGGATCCATCAAGCAGTAGAGTCAGGAATCAGGAAGACGATCATGTCAACTAAGACAATCAATGAACATGGAAAGAGTCCGAGAGACAGATATGGTCAAGGTGACATGGTGAAGATAGCAGAAATCAATATGTCATTTTACAAGGCAAAAATGATTGCCTTTTTCCAAACAGTACTAGCTAGTGTTACTAGAAACTCTTTTGAATTAATACATGTTGATATTTGGGGATCCAATTATGTTCCTAGTCATGATGGATACAAATAATTTATAACCATCATTGATAATTACAAAAGGATGACTTGGATCATCCTGCTACAAACCAGATCTGAAGCCATATCACAACTACAAAACTTCAGCAAATATGCATAAAAATAGTTTCAAAACCTAGTGAGAAGGATCAGGAGTATCAAAGATGTTAGTTCCATATGACTAAATTTTTTACTCACACTGGAATTTCTCATGAATTATCTTGTGTTGAAACACCACAACAAAACAACAAGGTTGAAAGAAAATACCAACATATACTTGTTGTAGCTAGAGCCTTAAAATACCAAGCCAATTTACCCTAAGATTTCTGGGGAGAATTTGTCAAACATGTTGTTTATCTCATTAATAGGGTTCCCACAATTGTTTTGGCGAATCAAACACCATTTGAAAAAAATTCAAAACCACAAACCAGACTTTTCTAAACTCAGGGAGTTTGGTTGTTTGTGTTTTGCAAGTACCCTCAATAACCACAGGATGAAGTTTGACTCTAGAGCTAGAAAATGTGTTTTTGTTGGTTTCACGGCAAGGATCAAAGGATATAAAATATATGATATGGCAAGCCATGACATTTTTACATCAAGGGATGTTCACTTTTATGAAAACCATTTTCCTTAGAAATCTTATCCCTCTCCCAGTGTTGACTCCTCCCTTTATCCCAATCTCATTTCTCATGCTCTCTTGAAGACAATAGTTCGACCTATCAACCTCCATTCCCTCCTTCATCTCCTAATCCCGGACCCTCACGTCAACGATCTACAATATGCTTCTGACTATGACACACCACCCTCCACTGCTCATACTGATCTTCCATCACCACCTGCCCTTCCCCTCCACCAAACCACCCACCTGTTCGAAAATCTACCAGAGTAATCAAACCTCCCTCCTACAACACTACCATTGCAACCTGCTTCAACAACTTTCTTCTACCAGTCATCCTCCAAAGCAACACAGTCTAGTTATCCCCTACCCTCTTTCTTTTGTTGTCAACTATGACAACTTGTCTCCTACTCATCAACATTTAGTACTAAGTATTTATGCTCACAAGGAACTAGACACATTCATAGAAGCAATGCAGAATCCTAATTTGAACAAAGTTGTCAACGATGAACT